CATATGTACTATCATCATACCTTTGTGCATTTTGAGCTTTAGTGGGTAATTAAAAGTGAAAATTAAATACGCTGACCTTATTTTTTGCAGTTAGAACTACATGTAAGTACATATGCATGTATGGGCCTCCAGTTACTTACATTCCGTTTCATCGACTAATATCAGCTCGACCACACTACCGTGCCGGACGAGCAGCCGATGYACACACGGACAGAGGCGATTACCACGACAATGAGCCGGACGTTCAAGTTCAGTGCAAAATTGTGTATCGTTCATAGCCTCGGGTTGCGTTAGCGGTGGGTAGCTTGGAAAGACGAARCTTAAATTGTTGATAGCGCCCACAATAGTTAGATTGTTCTGCAGATCTGAAAAAAATTGCTTAGAATTTACGATATAAAATGGTAGATTGTGGCAAAGACGTACTCGCAAAATGATAGTAGTTGCCATTTTTGAAGATTTCACTATTTGGCACKGGAAAATTGTGAAATGCAAGGAAGAACTGGTGATCCGGTGTGGCAGTGCGCAGTGTYTCGTCCTGTTCTAGTGACTCCAATTCGCTAATGCAGTGATTGTCACTGGCGCCACAACTGCCATTGGGGTGATTGAGGAACTGGTGAGCAGCAGATAAGTASAAGCGGAGTGAAACACGAAGACAAGGTAAGATTTTTAACTTTATAAGCTACTTTGTTGATGGTAGAGATCATGCAAAAAAGTATCTCAAAATTATGAGCTTCATTGAGTTTAATCAATGTTTTTGGCTATAAATCGGGTGGAAATTAAATTTGTAAATCTTCAAGCTTTTTTCGCTGACAATAATAATAATACTCAGCGAATGCATGCAGGTATCATGCATTAAGTATTTTGTCTTGTTTGATTACCTATCCTTTATACTCCGCGAAGAAGTTCATGAGCGACCGGCAGTACTATTGAATATGCCTCGAAGCTAGAATATTCGCAGAACTCTGAAAAAGCAACGGTTGCTGCTAATCAGTAAGGGAAAATGAGATCCCAACTTGCCATCAGCATACCGACCACTATGCTTGCTTGACACAATGTGAAAGCTGTATGAAAGGCCTCAGACTCGAAGCAACTATTAACGAAGCTGGATGACTTTCCCCTAGACAACATGCTCTTAGGAGCTGTAAAATGCGTCAYTCAAAGTTTAGAAAAATAGTGCTCCTGGCGACTTTAGATGTCCGAAACGCCTTCAAYTAGATRAGKRGGTATGATCAACACACTCGAAAAAAGCTTCAAAATCCTCGACAACCTCAGAGCTGTGGTGCAGAGTTATCTTAGTAACAAAAAACTAAAAAAATAGAGAGGGAGCACGACAGATAGCGATCAYRCCAGGAACAGCACAAYGATCCATTTTARGCYYAGACTTGTGATACTKGTGGAATCACTAGATAAGTGRAAAGCCGTGTGCGAAGTGGCAGCAAACATTATGAAACCCGATAGAGCTGGAAAACTACAACGGAGAAGACTACTACAAAATCCAATGAACAACTAAGACGSGACACACAAACCATGACCGGAGCAGACAAGAAATGTTTGAGGGGGGTTATGAGACAAACCGTGGTAGGGCCAAGTAATTGCAGCTTGTTACTGAATGCATTATTACCATCACGTATATATGAGTAATACTCAACTTTTCTCTCGACGTAATACTTGACGGTGGTACCGGGGGGCTTGGTTCAAGACAGTAGGAGGTTTAGTTCGGATTAAAGTTCTACACTGACATGGGGTTCAGGCCTTCGATGTTTCCTCCTCGTAACAAAAACAAAAAAAGAAGCAGAAAAGCCGTCATGCCTATGTAACGTCACGACAGAAGACGATGGTGAACACACATTATTTGAATATATGCGATGGCAATCAGAACGCACCACCGTAGAGGACCTCGTTGGCGCAATAACTATGGACAATTTAATCAGCGTCTAGCTGAACAGTGAAGCAAACGGGGTGATTATCCAGAAATTCGCAGCAAAAAGTGGGACATGAACGTAGGTGCACAGATGTAAATCTCGCAATGAGGAAAATGGAACGTCCCGCTGAAGTAATGCAAATATGGCTGCAAAGGGGTGGTTTCCACCCCCACATCCGCAAAAATAAATTCAGTGAATATTTTTCTGGACCATAGAGCCTTCCTTTAGATTTCGATTTTCTAAATATTTCGTTATATGCTGTCAGTGGTACCTTAACTCACTTAAATAATACTATATAGAAATATCTTCTACTGAAACGACCCGAAACTCTATTCAGAGGAAAGTCGAATGAAAGCTGAATAGAAGGTCTACAGCGGTCTCAACCAGAAGGCTTTTTCCACGATWTTTGGCTAATATATAGATCTTCGCTTAAGGTCGAAATTGAATGCACTCATTCTAATTATATATGYTTACATAAAAAGTCTACTCACCACCCCCGAAACGTAGGTTTCATTATATAACGGCATCGGCGGTAATGGCCGTTCCTCATTAGAATCTACAGTAACTTCATTACTCACATAACGTAGCAGAGCAAAGGACTCGGTCGGCAAGATGGCACAAACACCCATACCGCGTACACGAATCCAGTAATCACCCACAGTATTATTAGTGAATACAACGAAATCGTAGCGCTCACCGGCATTTGAGATGATTGTATCGAAGGCGTACGGCTTCAAATCATAAGAATCGGAAGCAATGATGCTCATGTTGTGACGCTCGATCTGGAAATGTAATGGAATGGCTTTTATTAAACTCAAGCACTGTATTAAAAATAATATTAGGAAAAGCTTCAGACAGCTTAACGACTTCTGTAAATCCCACAGAAAAAAAAAAGTTCGCTTACAAGAGCCACGTAATCGACAGTAGTTATTAAATACCTGCAATTGAAACGGACACGAGTGACTAATCGAATTTATAAGTCTGAAACGATAGCGTTTTCCCGGTAAAACATAATAACGCATTGGTGGCACCACAGTTGGCACACGTACACCCTCTTTGGTATAATATATACCGCGACCATTGATCAGCACAGAATCTGGAAATATGCCAGCTGAAGAAGGCTCGCCAGGAAAATATTGTTCGCCATACGTATGCATCCAGTCGGCTATGAGTATATAGTGTTCAGGTAAATCGAAATCATATGTGTCTTTGCTAAGCATAGCAGCCGGTTCATCGCGCACAATTAGGGCGCCATATTGACCATTGACCTTGTGGTGACCTGAAAGTGGAGAAACATTAAATGAGTAATGTGGAATTAAGAAGTGCAYTCTGAGTAGCTTGAACATATTATCTTTAATTCGAAAAGTAGGTCTTCCACTAAGCGGCTCATAGAACTAACTGGACCTACTTTTTAATAACTGAGCAATTCCAAGCTCTTGTKCGAGTAAAGAAATAGACTGTACCGGGTCTTCGCAAGCGTAAAATGGACAGAAATGTTATTCGAGCTTTTCCGTCTGCTTCAATTACATTTTTTTTTTCTCCACATATGGGATAGTCTGAGTTTTATGAAGAAGCTGACCTTCTGGGGTTTTGTGTGTAAGACAAAAGTCAGCAGTCGAAGTTACAATTAGAGTTTTCGAAAACTAAGTTCATTTCATGGTTGAACCGMCATTCCTTTGACCATGTTTTTAGTGTCTACAATCACATTATTTTGAAGCCTCGGTGCCTTCGGTATCGAAGGTCTAAACGGTTATACCTTTTACGAGTACTCTTCTTSCTATAAAGAATTTAAAATTTAGAGACGAAGTTTAAGAATCCATCGGAAATCTCCATTGACTCTTTAAACCTCTTATACCTCCAACAAATAATATGCAGGTTGATGGAAAAAATAAATATTTGCCAGTATTTTTCTGCCCTTTGCAAAATGTCAAAATGTGCCTGACATATTCACCTTTTGTATTACCATTTGTAAGCATCAAAATTGCAAAATGAAAACCGGATGTAATGGTGTAAAATTGCCGCGTTGAWGCAAGATAAAACTGCAGCGTTGGCTTCTACACAGTAAACTTTACATTCAAGCAGAAAAAAAGTGGGAAAAAAAGAAATAAAAACTCACCTGAATGCGAGTGGTAGAAATGCGTACCCGCTTCGGTGGCCCAAAAATGGTAACGGAACGAGTTGGAAAAATGTATGGGGCATTGTGTGACAAAGGGTACACCATCCGACCAGGGGGTCGCAACCATATGCTGACCATGCCAGTGTATAGCAGCTGCAGTACCAAGGGCTTGGTTAGCCACATCCACTATAATCAAATCGCCGCGACACACCTGAATGGCTGGACCGGGTAGTTGCCGGTTAATGCTCATTACACCCTTCTCATAACCATCGGCCAAGATGCATTGTGGTGCATAGCAATCGGCGATGATRCCGAGCGCGCAACGGCCACAAGCGCTGTGTGTGCGAGAAAAGATGCAAAGAAGTAGTGTGGGGTGGGGAGCAAGTGAGTGCATGCGAAAAAAATATTATTATGTCATGAAAGTGTAAAGTAGGGTGTACTGCTGGACTGAGAATACAGGTGACAGTTGGTGCAGTAAAAGCGATTGAAATGGAAAATGTTAAATGTAGGACAGTCCAATGTTGAATGTTTAGGGTGTAAAACCAATGTTGGGGTGCGGATTTAAATAGAATGTCGGTAAGTCGTCAGTTGAATTGCATGTTATGAGGTGCAATGGTGAAATGAAAGCTGTTGATGAGTGGAACGAAAATGCGTTTATRATCAGCAGAGCGGAATGCATGCAGGCACGGTTGATAAGCCAGTGAACTGAATATAACAATATTCCTCCCCAAAATGCTATTTATCAGCAGTCTCTTTCGAAGTATGAAGTCCCTCAAAGCTGTTGTAATTATCAAAGCAAATAGTGAGATTAAAACTTATCGATACGACCTCTTCATAAATATCTTGCTATATAAATTACCGTTAAATGTTCTTTTAGCAAAGAATGTCAATTACCTTTTCAGTTTCTAAATAGCAAATAGAACAAAAAATATCAATTCTTCAAGATAAATGTGAACGAAGGCGGGCTAAAAGGGCTGRGCTCCTTAAACAGGCAAAAACATAAATTCTACATAAAAGAATATAAAGCGTTCGTTTATACCGAAGGTGAGCTTAAGGAGTATGATAAATTCCAGTTTCTGCTGCTCGCCTCCCTAGAACATTAAGAAATCCTTTCTCAACCGCCGACYAGACTTCGGACTCAACTTYAAACATGTACTAACCACCATTCTCAGTGGAGCCATAAACACCTTTACCGACTTTATCACAGTGAATGGCGTATTTGGAGTSAAATCACCGCCCACTGCAGACGAATAGCTCGATTTGGCGCGAGCAACAAGAGTGACTCATGCGCAACTTTGTTCTGTAAAACGTAGCAGGTTAAGCTCCTACTTATCCAGAATCAACACTGATTTATCAAATATAAGTCGAGCGTACAATGAGTCTCCGCATGATACTAAYAATCTGTTTGTATGCCCATCTGATACCTTTCTCCCTATGGTCCGAAATCGTCGAAGCAGCACGTTTATAGGTCCTACCGTTGGTTGACCCCAATGACAAATTGTYCGAACCTTACAATCCTAACCGGGATTAGATAACTGTTACATCAGGGACTACCCTACATATCTGACATCCTGCACCCTATGCTCCGAACCCATTGAAATAGCGAGTAAACTGGATCTACCGTTAGATCACCTCGCTGACATGAACTGAACTACTGTCCTAACTGGTACTAGATTATCGTTACCATAACAACAAACGAAGGTGAGCTCTAGAAGTACCTTCTGAGGCCTAAAGTAGGTATATATGTAATTGGTTTAGAAAAAAGGTCGATCGAACTCGCATCATGTGGAAATCTAATACTTTTCCTTGGACGAACTTTCAGACATCATGCATTAGCACGAAATCTGTGTTCGGTAGATATTGGCACTGGATAAGGCGACATTATGCTTGTGTTAGAAAAAAAAGATGATAGTATATATAGAAAGAGGAACGTCTGTTTCGAAGGTGAAAATGAGTTACTTTATGCTTGGCATATCCCTCACCTCAAAAAAGGCTGAGTTGAGCATCTCGAATATAACGAATAAGTATTGGGTATTGAAACGTGCTTTCAAAATGGAATAATATATTCGTGACTTATAATTAGCTGATATCTGCACTTAGTTTCATGTGATGACTGACATTGCAGTCTCATTTACTTACATTATACCGACTTATTTGGATACGAAAAGTCTTCCGCGCTACAAATGACTTAATTTGAGATTGCKGACTTTGAAGAAGAAGGAAAATATTTTTAGAGAAATATGACCTATTGATACTGATCTGTATGGAGAAAGGCGAGATGGGGTCATCTTGTCACTTTCCCCTCATTACCCCGTCTTTGCCAGACTGAGATTGWAATATGTTGGTAAACACACCTTGAGCGAATCYAGCTCAAAACATTTCGTCTATCTATGAGGATCTAGTGATCCCCTTTCAGTTCAGTAAWTTTTGAATAACACAAAGRACGAACATCTGCCAAAGTGAGATATGTAACTTAGGATCAAACCAACGGCCACACCTAACCTAAACTAAACTTAACAAGAAAGATGAAATAATTGTCTCTTAACACGAGAYCTCAAATCCGAGTATGTGGTAAAGCATGAACGGCGTTTTGAGGACGCCTGAGGAACCTATCCTCCACAAACGAGGAAACTAGTGAAATGGTCAATGTACAAAGTAACGAAGACACTAATTGCCATCAGGGAATCATTGACGTATCAAACTGTTCTCGTTTGTAACTTCCTCAGTTCTGTAATTTGTTGTAGAACATTGTGGAAAGCAGTACGACGACGATTGAACGAAACCGCTACACTCCACCAGCGGCGCTACGAAAGACCTCGCCACTATGCGGACAGTTGTGATGAAGTTGTCGGAGTCAAAGTCAGCGCGCCAGCATTGGAGCAGTAGTAGGCGCTAAGTCAACGTCAACGGTAAGTGGTAAGGCGACAGAGACGCAACGAAATATGCAAGCGGAAACGCAATAAAAAGCAAAACAGGAAAAAAATGCGAATTAAGAAAAAGTGGAAAACACGAGGTGCAAAAAAAAAAACAAAAAAAAAAACGAAACGTTAATATGCTTATGCCAGCATGCCAAAGCGCTTTGATGGCTGATGGTCGCACAGAGCACAGGATACAGGACTCAGGAAGTTGTTGGTTGCAACTTGCAGACTGCCGGAAACCAGCAGTCGGTCTGCTCTACGCGAGGATATTTTTGTGACAATCAATATTTTATTGTGCGCTCGCCGCTTCGCTAAGTGTTGGCCGAATGTATGTATGTGCGAGAAACTGGGGTTACAACGGGTCCACGTACCATATTTATAAATACGAGCGCACAGAAAAATATATATTCAAGTATGAATGTGAACACGCAAACGTTGTGGTTAGTTTTATGACATTTATGTTTGTAYGTATGATTGTATGAATGAGTTTGTGAGAGAGTTTTGGCTTACGTACACYCCCATGACCTGGTAATGTTCTAGTGTAAATTTGAAATAGCAAATGCGACTGTCGCCAGCGATGCAGTGGCGATTGCACAGCTCGCCAGGATGTTGACTAACATTTAACGGTGTGGTGAAAGTAGGGTTATTTTTGTTATTTCCACTGTTGGTATTAGGATTACTGTCAAACGTTGTGGCAGCAACAGCTGCATTTACAGCTGCTGCCTCGGCTGCCCTCGTCCATGCCGCCACACCGACCGGATTAAATTTGCCGACTAAAGTGAAGTAATTTGCAGCATTGCTTTGACTCAATGGCGGCAGCGTGGATATTAGCGTTGAAGCTGAGGCCAGAGCCAACGCTGTTGTGCGCGGTAAGCCAGCAGCTGGTTCGGATGCGGGCGCGTATGGCGATGCGGACGCTGCAACTGTTGCCATTCTTAGCCATTGTGGGATATTTGGAATTATTTTCCGATTTGCTGTATATGGGATTTGCGGATTTGAGGCAGTTATTGTTGTTGTGGTTGTTGTTGTTGTTGTTGTTGTTGTTGTGACAGCGATTGTTGTTGTTGCACTGGTTATTGCCGCGCTGGCATTTGTCGTTATTGCTAACGCTGCTGCTGGTGCGGCTGCAACGTCGAGTGCAGCGAGCCAAAGCAAAGTCATGGCAACGCTGTTGCCGCTTCGCGTTCGATACATTGTTTTGGGGCCAACGGCAGCAGCGATTTATTTCTCTAAACGAACGAATCGTTAAATCCGCGCACTTACTCATTCACTTTGCACCGCTCACAGTGCAGAAATAACACTAAAAGCTGTTGGGCGGCAGGCAGCGCACTTTTAGCTGCGGATTTGCTTGTGGCATGCCTTAGCTAATGTGCTTCGCATACAACGGTACATGCGCCGGACAATAAAATAGTATCATAYGCAATACGTTTGTTTGCGATCTTTTGTAATAAAAATAATTTTACGACTTTGCGGAACTTCGTGTGATAAGTTGCATGGCGTAAAGTGCGGTTAAATTTAATAGCGACATGCGAGGAAGATGTCAAATATTGATTCAGAGATAGAAAAGGGTTATTTTTTTTTTACCAGCAAACTTTTGCATATGGGAAGTGAAGGGGCAAGTGTCCATAAGGCACGCCACATGCCGGTTTGTTGGCTTAAATCGCGGATAATTTAAGAATTTTTGTGTGCCGTTATATTATTAAAGGTCTGTCAAAGGTAGTAAAGAATTTGATCAATAAAAAAAATAAAAAATAAAAAAAATAATAATAATAATACAAAAAAATAGGGCACTAAATTAATTTGTCAGAAGAAGATATGTTTCAATTCTTTAAAATTTTACGTCTTGTTATGAATTTCATACATTACATAATATTTCAACATTCACTGTTACTTACTCTCACCGTGTATGGKGTGTGACTTCGATAAATTGAGAACTTAAGCCCAATGGTAGGCAACGTCTTTTCAATGCTTTTGCTAAGTGTGTTACGGAAGGTTGATAGGTCGCGGTCGACCATAATAAAATACATTTTTCTGGCAAAATTATTATTTTTTATTTTAACACAGTTCCCTTCAAGRGTGATACACTGATTTTTGCGACCCTCCAACTTTTCGATACTATTTTTGTAGTACAATTTGTTCTTTCATCTTCATTCGACGAAATTTTTTTGCTCGCGAGTATTGTTTTGAGATCTGAAAACGTAAAGTGGTCGCTTAGGAAGAKATCTAGAGAATACGTCGGGTGTGGAAGCAATTCAAAGGCCCATTTATGGATTTTTGCCAGCGTTTTCACTGATTTTTGACACCATGTCCTGCCTTAGTGAAACACCGCTTTATTTTTCTTCTAGCGCGGCACTCACTTATCACAAAACTTTCGTATTCCAAAATATACGTGAATGATATGATATAGACGTTCAGTGAATATCTATGTCGAACAACTTCTCGTTATGCCCATACAAAATTAATTTCTGGACTTTTTTTGATGATTTCTTCGACAACCTCTTTTGGGCGTTCACTGCGTTCACCATTTTCGGTGACCATTTCCCCACGTCCAAACTTAACTTACGCATCCTTGCTGTTCGATTTGATAACAACTTATGTTYTATCTTATAGATCTAGCAAAGCTACGCATTTGTCGGAACCGCATATAGCTGTCATTCAATCGAATCGATCGGTGTCAAGTTCTTGTAAGTTAATTTTATCATTCGATCAAATTTATTCGTGAAGCTTGGCATGGATTATTACCCTAGCCAATGTTACTATCTCCGAGCAAACTGTTCAAATCGGACTAATATAGCGTATAGCTGCCTTAGATACTGAATTTTAAAAAAATAATTGTATGGAAACTATTTTGCTTGACAAAGATATTATCAGAGMATTTGACTTGAATTATTGCCAAAATCAACAAATTGTTCAGATCGGACCAACATAATATGTACTTGCCATACAAACAGATCCAACAAAACCAGTTTATAGATTATTTACTTTAAATCCATGTCAAAATATTTTTCTGCTAATTTATAACTCCAAGCCTATACTACAAACAAAACGCCATAAGTGCTCTTATTTCAATGACCAGCGCTTCTATACTTATGCTCCATATAGAATATTGTGCTGATCATTGTGCGCCAGTTTCAGTTTTGATAGCTTTGCAACATCGGCGGTTTGATAAGAAGATGCAAGCGTTGCATTCAAAACATCAACATATACACACTTTAACACATACATACATACATATGWACATGTATCTACATAAACGCATATGAACATTGTACGAGTATAGTGAATGATATTCAAGTGTGGGCACTGATTTGATGGCGCGGCTTATATGAAAGTGAAAAATGTGGCAAATTGAAAAAAGGCGGTTTATAAATATTCACATACAAATGGCTTAATAAATATGCAGGCAAACATCTATACATTTGACACATATAAATACATAAATATGAAGTGAAATGCAATATTTTTAAGCCTGTTTGTAGCAGTGGAGTTAGTAAAATTTCCGAGAATTTGTACGCAAATGAATATGAAATAACGAGTTTGTGAGATTTAAAAGCCATATATAATCTTAAAGACACTAATATTGGATCATTTTTATGCTCTTCCTCTAACATTTTTTACTTTTTATACCAAGTAAGGTAAATGAGGTATTTTAAGGTATTGAGAATTTTTATGGTAAGGTTCGGTTGTCTTCGAACAGCCAAACCTTGGTAACCAGCGAATCGAAAAAGTTACTGGTGTAAATCGCAAAGACGAGCATAATCTCCACTTGATTTAGACTAGCAAGCGATCATACAATTTTAAAGAGCTATCCACATACTTTCCTGTAATGATTTCAAGCTATCCAGATTGTTGCTTTCCATTATAGATTTTTTGGATAAGAGTGCAGAGTCAAAACTGAGCAGTGGTGAACAACTAAGTGRCATTCTGTAAAATAATGCTAAGGTGTTTGTTAAAGTTTTAACTGATAACACTTAATTATAGTACGGGCCTGCCTTATTTATTCAAAAAGTTTCGGAATAAGATTTCTGATGGCAAACAGAAATGTCTCTATATAATAAAGACGAGAGGACAAAGACAAATTTTCGGGTTCTTGAAGCAGCACCACTTCGACAAACCAAAATCGTGCGATGAAACTGGACTTGGGACCTGGGAATGTATACTGATGTGATAGAGATCCAAATGGTTTGGTTACGACTGCTATAGTTCTGGATTTGAATGGGTGTTAGAAAAAGTCCTTAAAGTGAGAATTATTGTTGGAAGAGGACGTTACTTTACTTGGCTAATTGGTGAGTTTATTTTAGAACGTCTGCTATTTTCATATAGTTTCAAAAAATATTATATATCTAGAAGCTTAATAAAATGCTCGTATTATGAGGCTGTGTTGGTYTTGCTCGATATCCGCTCTATATATATTTATTTCAATTGTGAGTCATTGCCATTGTAAGATGTAAGATATTAATTTGACTTTGTTAATGAACTTAGGCTAAATTTACAATTCGACCAAGAAAATTTGATCCACAAGTAGTTAAACACAATGTCTTCATTCTCTAGTAGAGAAGAATGTACCAATGTTTCTGTGATCGACAGTTTCAATGGCAAAGCCTATATATTAACCGTTCGATCTGTGGTTGAAATAAGAGAAGTAGCGCACTTCTTCTATAGTAATGCACAATTATGAAGATAGCTTCGAACTGACTGATTACAACTCAGTCTTGCGTCTCGCGTGAACTTTTACACATTACCTTCAAWCATCCTCCATCCATCCTGCGTCAGGATCGGGAAGGACTTCTTTTAGCCGWTCGATACCAAACGAGGTTTCAGACAAGGTGACTCCCTATCGTGCGACTTCTTCAATCTGTTGCTGGAGAAAATAATGCAGAACTTAATCGAGCAGCTTCAGTCTTTTATAAGTGTGTACAGCTTCTGGCGTATGCCGATGATATTGATATCATTGGCCTCAACAACCGCGCGGATAGTTCCCCTTTTTGCATAATAGAGAAAAAAGCGAAGCAAATGGGTCTGGTAGTGAACGAGGGCAAGACAAAATATCTCGTGTCATTAAACAAACAGTTGTCGCACTCGCGAYTTAGCTCCCACGTTACTGTTGACAGCCATAACTTCGGAGTCATAGACGATTATGTTTATCTTGGGACAATTTCAGCCTCGAAATCCAACGCAGAATAACTCTGCCAACAGGTGCTACTTCGAACTGAGTTGRAAATTGAGAATTACAGTCTTCTTTTGACGAACAAAAACCAAGCTCTATAAGTCACACATTATTCCCGTCCAGCGATATAGTGCAGACGCATGAATGATGGTGACGACATCTGATGAGTCGATGTTACGAGTTTTCGAGAGCAAGGTTCTGCGGAAGATTTATTGTCCTTTGCGCATTGGCCACGGCGAATAAAGTAGTCGATGGAACGATGAGATATACGAGTTATACGACGACATTGACCTAGTTCAGCGAATTCAGCGAATTTCAGCGGATAGGCTGGCTGAGCCATGTCGCCCGAATGGATGAAATCACTCTAGTTCTAAAATTATTCGACGCAGTACCCGCTGTGAAGCAGAGAAAGAGGAARACCTCTAYTCCRTTGGAAAGAKCAGGTGGAGAAGGACTTAGCTTTGCTTGGAATCTAGAGCCAAATAGGGAAAAGGAAGAACGACTGGCGCGTTGTTGCAAACTGGGCTAGCGATGCTTTGTCAGTAAAGAAGAAGAATATATGTAAACAGATACTTTGTTCGCCCGTTTAGTTAAGTGCGATGCTTCTTAAAGCCGAAATATGCTGAGAGGTTCCAGATAATCCTTAGAGAGGCAAATTTTATATGTGTAAGGTTTTAATTTTTACTTTGACTGAAAACTAAAGTCAAGTACATCAATTAGAAATCTGTTGGTCCAAACAGGCATATAAACCYATCAGTTTTTTTGGCGAGGGCTATGAAGAGAGTACTATACTATCCATAGCTTTGAGATAATTAAAGTGGCACTTTGAAATCACTTTGCCTACTGAGAAAAGTCTTGGAGGATGAGTGCTGAAGATGAGCCAAGATTTCGGCAAAATAAATTGCAAACAATTATACTCATTCAATTTTTGTCCTCGAAAAGCTTTATACTACATGTGAATATGCTGCTACTTCAAGGCGCAATATATTTGGAGCTTCCAGCTTATACTTAGAGCGGCAAACTCTGTRAATGAAAGGTTTCAGTTTTCATATCTAGTACTTCAGTGGGAAGTCTGACGGTTCTCTTATGATATATAAATACGAATGGAAGCGTATATTGTCGATACTTTTGAGCTGTTTGAAGCGGTATACTGAAATCAGCTTGTTCAAGGAGCATAGCCTGAGGAGACGTAAGCTGAAGATACGTCAATATCAAACCACCAGCAGCATACTACAAATTATTGTACTTGTCTACTTGTTGGTCTTTAGAAAGCCTCATATTTCAGAGTGTTTAGCATCACAGTTGGTTCTCCAGCATATTTGTAATTTCTATAACGCATCTTCTTTTAAAATATGCTTCTCACGCTAAGCTTCGAGCAAGCCTTGGAATTCTACTCAGCAACGCATGCATATTAACGCAGAGGCATATAAGTATAAGAAACTATATTTTTATATAATTTAAATTATATACATATGTGTGTAAGTTTGTAACTATTTTTTTTTTTTTTGTAACTATATTTGTGTGTGTATGTAGATAAGTACAACGGTTGCTTATTGAAAACAAAAAGAGTGGCAGCAGAAGAAGAATCATAAAGGCATCAACAGTTTATCTCGAAGCATGCAAAGTAAATGAGGTTGGCGGCGGGTTAAGCACGCGGCTGCATTCAAGCGAAAACTTCAGCGCACACATGCAAACTTAAACAAATACTGCTACACACATGCATGACACTACTACTGCATATAATAACTGTGTGTGTTTGTTGGCTTATAACATGAAAAGTGAAATTCATTATTAGAAAAGTTGCACTTTTTTTTTCGTTTAAGTTAAATAAATAAATTCTCACTTGTGGTTTCTTTTTAATTCTCTCGTTCATTCGTTCGGTCGCTCGTTCATTCGTTCTTCCTTTATTCCGCTTTTGTTGTTTTTCTTTCGCTTTTGTACAAATGACCTACTTTCAATGCTAAAGCGGGACAAACACACCGACCACCTTGCATCCACACACACATACATACGGCTGATTCTCCGTTATAACTGCAACATTTGTTCGAATGATTCTGCGGCGCGGCGGCCACTTGCYGTTCGGGGCGCGTCTCCCGTGCGCATTTGGCTGGCGTACGCGTGCAGCTGGAAAATTTCTGTTGTTGCTAAAGTGTGTGAATTTGCTGCTGGCTCTATCGTTGTTGTTGTTGTAAAGCTGCTTTTTTTTAGTCTACAACAAAAACAAAACCGTGACGTTTGCAGAAAATTGCAATAAGCGAGTTCTTTTGTTATTTATAGCTGATTTTAATAAAAATGTTTGCCAGTTATTTATTGTATGGCTCCCCATATATATATGTATGTGTGTGTGTGTGTGTGTGTGTAATGCGCTGAGCGTTTGCGTTAACCTAATTTCTAGCGTCTTGCAACGCTATACAGACGCTTTGATGTTGTTGCCGCGTAGGATTGGCAAGTGTCAAGGTGAGTTTAACGGCTCAGTTGTGTTTGTGTGTTTGTTTGTATGCACATATGTACATATGTCGTAGCCAATTGACTGTTCACTAAGTTGATGCGTTTATGGTTGTATTATAATAAGCGACTTTGGTGGTTCCGCCAATATAAACAGGGCTATACTTCTTCTTCTTCTTCTTCTTTACTGGCGTAGACACCGCTTAMGCGTTTATAGTCWAGGTAACAACATTGCGCCAGTCGTTTCTTCTTTTCGTCAATTGGATATTCCAAGCGAGGYCATGTCYTTCTCCACCTGTTCCTTCCAACGRAATGGAGATCTTCCGCTTCCTCTGCTCCCACGGCGGGTACTGCGTCGAATACTTTCAGAACCAGAGTGTTTTCGTCCAATCGGACAACATGACCAATGTCAATGTCGTCGTATATCWCGTACAGCTCATTGGTCCATCGAATGCAATATTCGCCGTGGCCAACGCGCAAAGAACCATAAATCTTTCGCAGAACTTTTCTCTCGAAAACACGCAACGTCGACTCATCAGTTGTTGTCATCGTCCATGACTCTGCATCATATAGCAGGACGGGTATTACGAGTGACTTATGAGTTTGGGTTTTATTCGTCGAGAGAGGACTTTACTTCTCAATTGCCCACTCAGTCCGAAGTAGCATCTGTCGGCAAGAGATATTCTGCATTGGATTTAGCTGTTGATGCTAGTTTCAAAATACAATTAGTTACGACTTCAAAGTTATGACTGTCAACAGTGACGTGAGTGCAAATCGGGAGTGCGACGACTGTTTGTTTGATGACAGGAGAWATTTCGTCTCGCCCTTGGTCACTGCCAGACCCATTTGCTTTGCTTCCTTGTCCAATCTGGAGAAAGTAGAATTAACAACGCGAGTGTTGAGGCTGATGCTATCTATATCATCGTCACACGCCAGCAGCTGTACTCTCTTATAAAAGACAGCACCTGCTCGATTAAGTTCTGCAGCTCGAATTATTTTTTCCAGCAGCAGATTGAAGAAGTCGCACGATAGAGAGTCGCCTTGTCTGAAACCTCGTTTGGTATCGAACGGCTCGGAGAGGTCCTTCCCGATTCTGACGGAGCTTTTGTTGCTGGTCAACGTCAGCGTACACAGGCGTATAAGTTTTGCGGAGATACCAAATTCAGACATCGCGGAATAAAGTCAGCACCTTTTCGTGCTGTCGAAAGCAACTTTGAAATCGGCGAAGAGGTGGTGAGCGTCGATTCTCCTTGCACGGGTCTTTTCCAAGATGGTTGGTCGGTTGTTGATTTTCCAGGTCTGAAGCCACAATGATAAGGTCCAATCAGATTGATCCACTCAATACGCTCGATAGAACCTTATACGCGTTGTTCAGGAGGCTTTTTCCACGGTAGTTGGCGCAGATTGTGTTGTTTCCCTTTTTTTGGATTGGACAAGGCACACTTAAGTTCCAATCGTTGAGTATGCTTTTTGCTTAAAACCGAGGAATTATTTTACTCCAGCTCATATCTGAAGAAAAGATTGCATGGGTGCTATAGTTCGTAGTTTTTAGATGATTGGTTGAAAAGGGACCGCAAGTGGGCGCACCTAGGCCATCATTAGTCCCATTGTACTCCCGGGTAGTAACTATTTTAAATCTTATACAGCAACTCAGTGTATTAAGTAGAAAACTTGATTATTTTCCATCTAAGCTGCCCAATGTCACTTAAGTTGGAGTATTGGGAACCGAGGAAAATGTTCCCTCCTTATCCGGCTGAAGGCACGACATGCGCCTATATAATGTGCCACCGTCTCACCATTCCACGCGTATGTATGCGTTCTGTTAAATCCACTTTCCCAATTTCTGGGGAGGGGATCTTAAAGGTAGGTACCCTGCGATGACCCCTACAATGTTGCTAAGATCCCTTTGACTAGAATTAGGGGCTTTATGGTCTGTCCGACAACAAAGCTACCCCAACTTAACTTTGTGGTATGACCTTTGTTACTTGTGTACTAAGAACTATTGCGTATCTTTAGAGCCCACTGTTTGAAGATCTCGAAGGAGCTGAATTGTGTTGGAGACACGAGCGGACCTGCGAACCTGCTCGTCTTCTCTTCCTATATGACCGGATACCCAGATGATATTAACCGAGTTAATTATTAAAAGTCTTGTAATTGACTGTTTGCATAACCTAATGCAATGTGACTTCGTATTGGCGTTACGGATGACCTTAATTGGCGCTGAGCTGGCTAGAGCACAAGCATACTTATCACAATCTCTTATGCCTAAAATTTGGGTCTGAAAGGCCGAAAAGACCGAAGCCCGCTCCTGTACCTGTTTCATTATATTATCCACGGGTGAATATACAGATACCGTTTGAGCTGTCGATCACCGAACCAAAAGCCCAATCGCATCTACTGGACAATTAAAACAATGTGTTTTATTCCTCGTTGCTCTTCTTTTCTCGCTCGCATTGTCAGCTTAACCCGCGTTCATTAACAAGATCGAGTATGATACCATAGCCGTAGTGACGCCTAACCTGGCTCCATAACTTAAGGCTTGATTCCTCCTAATTTTTTAGACTTGGAACTCATTCTTTTGAGTTTTTGCGGTGGTTGCAGCGCTATGATAGTGAGTTGGAATAGCTAACAACTTTTAATCTTCATAACTCTTCATAAAGAAAAATTTGGCACTGCTTCAAAAAAATTGTATTTCCTAATAAAAAATATATGCCTCAAGTCTTAATATTTATAAGCCTGCTCTTTCATCAATCAAGCTTGAGATTTCTTCGCTTATGGTGCACTCGTTAAAATGAAGTTGTGCTTAAGCGCAGACAGCAACCGCGCGCACAAAGTAAAATTCATATTAAAGTTTCAAACCTCAACGAGAGCTTTTAAGGAAAAAGCGCTAATTGATGATCGCAAGTTGCCTACAAGAACAATCCAAAGCTGTATTCATTTACATTCACAGTGTATTATAGAATCAAACTGGTTTTGAGAGCAGCATCGAGAAAAGTACTTTGCACGCGCGACGATGCCGCCGCTTTAAAATAGTTGAAGGCGATCTTTTGTTTTCAACACGCTCGCTGATGTTGGTGTAGACCGAGCGCATGCATGGCCAAGCTGCCTATTAGCCAAGAAAATATAAAAGATCGCAGCTTACATGCGCGACGCGACTTGCGCTGAAAGTGAGGAAAGCAATAAAAAAAAAAAATAATATTCGCGTCTCTGCTTTTGGAACTGGCCAAGTTTGTAAATTTTGCTGTGCTTAGCTCAGCATTCAGGCGTTGCGATCAGTCTGCGATTGAACAGCGGTTCAGAAACACGCGCGTGTTCCAACTTAACTCGGCAAAAAGCAACGGTGCAAGTGCAAAGCAATCAAAATTGTATGAGAACAATTTTTTGTATTGTTATGAATTAGAATTTATATTTTTCGTTTTTGTTTTGGCAAACAAGTGGCAAGTGGCAAGTGTATACAATTTATTGCAACAATTCATAGCTGGCAAAGTTTGGCGCAACACGCTGGCCATAACGGCGCTTATATTTCGCTTTTGCCAACAAGCTGACGCATTTTCATTTCATGCTTCTGGGTGTTTTCCATGCACACACACATACATGCATACACTAATTTATTGTGTTTATATATAACTGTGTGTATACACTTTGTTGATGCCACTATTATTGCAACAGTTTGAAAACGAGTCGGACGTGTTTATTCGCTGATACGATTCTTTGAGCCAGCAGTGCGCATATGAGCTAGCAAACATATTTGGAAGCACCTGCACATGTACAAACGTACATATGTTTGTATGTGCTTGTTTATACATAATATTTAAGCGCAACTCAGCGTGATTTCGTGAAATAGAGAGTTCATTTAAAGGTAAACTTCTGAAAAAAGTCACATTTAGAAGGAAATTTATGCACAACAACAAATATTAGATATCAAACAGAAATAAATCAGCGAAGTTCGGAGAAAAAAATTAACAAAAAATATATTTTTCTTCAAGAATTTTTAGTTAATGATAAATTTTAAAACAACAACAAAAAATAAATAAAAACTAGAAACCCTATTTGGAACAGTTAAATTCGGAGACAATTTAATAAAAATAAGTAAATTTTTAGTA